ATTCAAATATGTACAGAAGGCATACAGTGCGGATCCCTGGAAATTCCAGAGGTGGAATCAGGTGCCTGGGAGTGGGAAACATTCCCTGTCGACCAGTCACGTCCGCCGTGACCATTATTTATTGATAAGAAAGACAGAAATTTCCGTAGTAAATGCAGTATGAAAACAAAAGCCCAACAATTAGTATTAAACAAATCAGCCAAAACACAACCTTATGATCGGCTATAATTGCTAACAGGGTCACTAACGACCATAAAATTTAAGTTAAAAAATTCTGACTTTAAACGATGCTGATGAAATACCTATAATATCTACTAATAAGGCTTTAATAATTGACTGCACTCAGAGCAACTCTTGAGTAACGAATAAGGTGGGAAACATTGATACCATACTACATAAGAAGATATTATTAGTTACATACCCGGCGAGGCGGAGCCGAGTCAGGTATGAAATTTACTAACCAGGTATCATCCCATACCCTGTCACTAAAAGACTATGTAACGAATTTACCCCACCGATGAAACATTTACGTTTTATCTGTAGTTTATAAATGGTTTTCTCTGCTAAATGCTTCGTCGCGCTTATACTGTGCTTATTATGACGTCACGTTTGTGTTTGTGACGTAATACATCGACCGGGTATAGATTTAGTGACCGGGTATGGATTTACAACTGACCAGGTATAAGTAATCCACCTCCTTCACGTGAAAGACTTCAACCAATCGTAAGCCAGGATTTCACGGAAAAATCAACAGAGGTGGGGTAAATAGATAGATCACGGTTCGTGTAACAAGTCCTCCTAAGCATTGATCCCAATCCCAGTGTTCCCAGGGGTCTTCCTGGTTTTAATGTGCACGATTCATAATGTTTTCAGGAAACATAAATATACATTTTATTACCTTTTGTGTGAATCAGATGTGGATACTAAAAAATTCCAAAGAACTTTTGGACAATTTGAAATCGCAAGATTTTATCAAAACCAACAGCTTAAAAACTTACGACTTTTCAACGTTATACACAACCATTACTCACGATCAATGAAAGTTCATTCTTTTTTATATCATTGACAGCTGCTTTTTCAATAAAAATGGAACTCGTAAATTTACTTACCAAATCAATGGTCATTTGCAAAATTATTTTGTTAAAACACATTTTGATTTCAAACACAAGTACTCTGATGTTGACATAAAAAGATGCTTGAGTTTCTGTATTTTTTTTTGAGACCAGGTCTTCCAACAATCTATTGGAATTCCCATGGGTACCAATTGCGCTCCGTTATTAGCAGACCTTTAGATATATCGATGACATATTGTCAATTAACAATGATAATTTCCTTTCCGATGTCGATACGATATATCCTGAAGAGCTTGAAATAAAAGATACCACAGAATCTAACACATCTGTTTCATATTTGGATATTTTACTTGAAAAAAGACTTTTAATGGTAATCTAACAACCAATTGATTCCATACGCAAGAGCATGTTCTACGTATGAACAATTTCTAAAACGAGGTAAGTTATTGACAAATAAGTTGATGAAACAAGAATATCAGCGGTCTTGTATAAAGTCATCAGTTCTATGGTCGATACAATGACCTTGTCAGCAAATATAATTAACTGATGTTTCTCACTTTAATTGTTAGTCCATTATTTATACACTGAATTGACGACGGATTTTTTCGTTATTTCCCGATCATGACAAGGAGCACACGGCAGTAGTGACCGGTCGGCAGGGGATGTTCACACCTCAACGGCACTTAAACCCATCTCTCATGTTTTGGAGGTCCGTGTTTGCCCTGCTTCTATTTTATATTGTTTTATGGACTTTGATATTGAATACTGTTCGTTATCTTCATATCCTTCACTTCAATAAAGTTATCATAGATCAGCTTGTCTGTGTCTTATTGTATGCGTTAATTAGTTAAATTTCTGCTCTGTGAACAACAGAGGAAAATAGTTCACAGGAATTTGATAATCAAAGAGAAAAACATATTCGAAGTAAACAAGCGTTTTTAAAATATATTCATGTTATCTCCCCTTTACCATCTTCGCTGTATTATCCACCTTCAATCTGAACACTAAAGAATTATGTTTTATGAGAAAAGAACCATATTAAATAATTCAATCAAATCAATAACTCGCATGTAATGAAAATTGCAACCACTGCCAATTTTCGAGTCAACGCAAAAAAGTTGTGTTCCTCTTTATTTTAAAATACATAAATCATTAAAATGAGCACAATGAATAAATGATCTATTATGAAATGTGGAATATACAAATTTATTCCATAAATTTAGAAGAAACTATCGTGATATGTGTTCATGATATATAATATTAATTTTTTTCTCAGGAATTTCAATTAAAACTTTACATAATAAAACAAATTACAAATATTCTTTGATTTGGAAACAAATGATATATATATTGACGTATTAATTTTTAAATCGCTGGATTTTTTCATTTAAAAAAATGCATTAAACAAGAAAAGGACTGATAAAGCTGAGAAAGTTGATCAAAAGAAATTTAAAGTAAAAAACTTGTTAAAATGAATTTAATTCGGTTTGAATAAGCATTTTATTTGTTCAAGCAAACATTTCTTTTCATATGTAAGTTAAAAAAGAAAATCAAGTGTGGTTTACCAATTCATTGAAACGAAAAAAAAAACCTAATTAAGAATAAATATCGTATGTACAGATATCAAAATAAATAAATGAATGAATGAATGAATAAATAAATTCTAAAAAAATTAACTGGACATCTGTAAGATTTATACATATAATTGGAAATTATGAGACATTGAGCTCTGTTAGTGAGAATTCTTTTGATTGCTGTTTATGACTGTTATTGAGTCTATGTACGAATGATGATATACATACAATATTGAATTTTCAATGCATATTTCTTGTTTAGTGACCGATCGGACGAGCATTTGTAGCCAGAAACCGCTTTTGGGATTGCTAGCTAGTGAACAAAAACACATTGCAGCTTTGAAATTTGTTAGTAATCATCATTGACCAAAGGTTGAAGACTTATTTCTCGTTTAATAGTATAAACTAATTAGTTCATGTTCTCCATAAAATTTTTTATACTCACTATAATATTATTTTCTATGACTTTTCATATGCCCATGGCAAGAAATGACTTTCTGGTATTGCAAGAGTCCGTACTATTGGATTTTTTAAAAAAATGTATCCTTCAAATTAAAATAAGGAAAAGCAAGAAATATATTAAGATTGGGGCCAGTGCTTGATGATATGAATGTTGGCTAGAAGAATTCCGAAAAAGTCATTATTTCGGAAAGAAATAAAGAAATGTTTATACGAGGATTGTTCGAAAAGTTTGTGGACTTCTGTCATCTTTTTTATTTGACGTCGTGTTTTATCCAAATATGGTAAAAAATGTTTTAACATTATCAAAGACCTAAATATGATATAAAACAAATATTCAAGACGTTCTTCTAAAAATGGCTTTCAGAAATGAGCAATCAAAAAGGTGCTAATAAACGAAAGATAGCAATGTTATTATTATCAAGTTTGAGTGGTTATTATTGAAGATCATATATCGCGTGATTATTTAACCGTTTGATAAGACTGTGAGACAGAAAAAGACAATAAAAAACAAACAGGTTGTTGATCCTAACACGTGAAATTTAAACACGTGGAAACGAAGCTTTTATGATTTTAACTATTTCCTATGATTTGTTTTAAGTCTAGGTCTTTTGAAATCATTGACATCTACTTTAAAAATAAAACTGGATCTCATAAACCTGCTCACCTTGTCTTTGGTCATTTGCAATATCATTTTGTTAAATAGTTCTAATTGCACACATAAATTCTTCTCGAAGTTGATTTGAAGAAAATGCTTGAATTATTGATTGACAATGTCTTAGTAGTCAGAGATCAAATCTAATCAGTCAATACCCAATTGTTCCAATTGCGCCCCAATATAAGCAACTTTTTGGGTATTTATATTCAGCCAAATTCAATCAAAAAACTTCTAAATGATAAGAGATACCTCTTTTTATGGCCTTCAAATCAACATTTAGATAAATCGAAGACGTCGTATCTATAATTAATTTTCTTTTTCCTTCCAACGTTGATTCAATATGTCTATTTTATTATGGATATTTTGCAAGAAAAAGACCTTAATTGGTACCTCACAGCAAAACTTTTTCATGAACAATATAACTTTATCATTTTCAATTTAAACTCCTCTTATTTATATGGCAATATACAATTATGATCTTAAGCGCAGTGGTTAGAGCGTACGTACCAAAGTCACGTAAGGAGAAGCTGATCCCCATGTCGTGGGTCCGAATCCACTGCAGAACGTGGAGACTGGTTTATCGAATGAGTCTGTATAAACCAATTTCCCCTGTTACAGGAGGATGTTGGCACGAAAAAGATCTCTCACTGCACAATGTTTCTAAATGTCGAGTAAAGGTATAAATTTGCAGTCATCCACAAAGTGATTGAAAATTTCTCGAAAGGGGCAAAAATACCAAACGAATAATGAAAGTAGTTACATGTATCTGCATAAAAAGTTAATTATGTCTCCAATTTATGAAAAAATGCAATCTCCAGCTGACAAATGAATTGATGAAAGAATGGTATCAGCATCCTCGATAAATCAAAATCTTGAATATTATATGATCGATACAATGACCATTCAGCAAAAAAAAAAATCATGTAACAAAATTGTTACTGATTTTTTTCCCATAAAAATTACAAGACCGTAATTTTCCCTTTGAATTGTTGGTGGATTTGTTATGCTCTGCGGGGAGACACATTAAAAGACAACAAATTAAAGATGCAACCTTTAGCTCTATATTTTTCAGTATATGCCCTATATTTCTACATGTAAAAAATAAGCAAACCAAATGTATTTGTATGAGTGTAAACATTTACTGTCAAACATTACATACAACAGATAGTTAAGGAAATGAGAGCTGTTACAGCATTCTATTAAGTAAAAATTAACGTGTTATTTTGATGGGTAAAAACGAAATATTTATAAGTATAATTTTCGATCAGTGTTCTTCATTATAATTCTTGTAATTTAAAATTTCTGAAAGTTATCCATTAACTTTGCTAACCATAGAATTTTTTCTTTCATTTGTAAACTGCCCATGAAAAAGTCTAAAATTTAGGTTGTCCTCGGATTGAACATTTCAACTGAATTCGTAAAATATTCAGCTGCTTTTATGTGAATGGGAATATTTAACATTGGAAAGGCACTATGACATTCACTTGACACAAAGGAACGGAAAGGATCTACAGTAAAGTCTGATCATGTGACCCAGCATTCATCAACATCCGGGACATTGACATGGTTTGTTTCGCTTTCAATAAGAGTTCTTTCAGATGCACTCGTAGGGATTTTGAAACGATGATATGGAAAAGAGGTTTTATACCAAAATAAGTGTAGAAAACATACTGAAATATACTCTCCAGGATCATTCCCTCATAGTCATAATGTTCATTTCCGGACATATATCGAAACAGTAAAATGAGTTTTGAGATACACCCTGGACCTACAAATACATGAAAACAAATGGAGTGTACCAAAACCACTTTTAAAGAATCTCGATATGTACTGGATCCATTAAAGGAGTTGGCAAGATAGAACTTCATAATTTGTTTGATGATAATCAGTAAGTCAAAAATTATGAACATAATAAAAGGTAAAACAAGTAAGACTATCACATCAAGAATATTCAGTATTTTCATGGCCTCTTCCGTTTCCGGTAGGATAGTGCAGAACCGAGCTCCTTGAATGATCAGCACACCGTTTGTCCATGTTTTGTAAATATATATCGTCAATGTGAAAACAGATAGAGAAACAATTAAAGCTCTGGATTTCCCTGGACCGTTACACGTATTTGTTAAACACGAGGATCGTGGGCGTATCAATAGAATGATACTTGCTGATACGCTATGCCAGAAAGACAGAAACGGAAAGAAATGACTCATAAAAATTATCATTTGACACATTCCAGGGGCCTTGTAAATATCCACTGCCTGATCCTTCATCCAGATCAACAGAACCGTTACCAAGAAGCCATTATCACTTATGGTTGTGGCGGCAAATACATGTGTGTAGAACTTCTTTCGCAGTTTAGTTCTGAGAAGAACGATGCACACGATAGTGTTCAGGGATATCCCGAGACAAATTATGACGGGTATGTAGTAAAAATAGAGTATTTGAGCCAAGTGTATCAGCGAGGTCACAGTTTCGTCATCAGGTTCGTAGTCAAGGTAACTCTCGTTTCCGGTCATCCCTTCTTCACTCTTAAGCTCTTCTAATTGTCCAAGTAATACGAGGTTCATCGTAAGGGGCGACTTTTGTTCTGATGTCGAAGTTATCTAACGTGACGCAGTTTTGAATCCTGAAAAAAAAATTAAGTGTTAATTTCGACATTTATGATTCTGTGTCTTCAAAGTGACTTGATAAAAATAAAATGATTATAGTCTTGTAAAAATAGAATAATCTGCACGTGATAGCGATATATGCTTAAAAATTATCTAGTGCTTATCAAAATAGTATAAATGTTTTAAAGAACTAGCACATTTTATCAGGCGAACACTAGGTTTGGATGACTGAAATTTTGTATTTATTTCATCTTAATTATCATTAAGTAATGACATTATTCGTTAACAGATTATAGATATAAAAAGAGCGTATTAATTTCAAATTGATATGTTGAAACGTATAAACTAATTGTGTAACGCATTATCTTTTGATGGTTTTTAAAATCATATAGAGTTTTCGCTTTCAGACAAAAAGAGAATTAGCGAAAAAAAATCAAACAGGCTGATCAAATTATAATTTTCCAAAACATGCAGTTGAAACTAAAAGTAAAGATCATAAATTTTCCAAACTAAATGCTATTTTAACCAGTGCCTCAATCTTGTCTGCCAGGAGAAAAAACATGCTTAATGGTTTGATATGTTTCCAGCACGAGTACAATTAATACCTGAATATCTTTTAATGAGCATTAAATGTCAAAATAACTATTGTTTTTGATAATTACATTTTGTTGAAATGTCAATTAAGGGCTGTGCCATATTACCTACCAACGTGATAAATAATATTAAAACCATCAAAGACTTTCTCAATGACATTTTATGGCTATCGGCGAATGCCATCTAAACTAATTGGAGATTTTTAAGACGCACGCGATTAGAAATAACAAATGTGCACATTTTCAGGCATAGAAATATTATGATAAAAGACGGTTGTCAATACGACCCTTGTTATATGGAAGATGAATTCCCTTGTCAGAATCTACCTGGAAGAAACGCATTACGGCTGCGCGAGTCTGAGAACCCGGATAGTAATAGAGATTGATCTCTTCACGCTTCACACACCGGAAGTTATTTCTGGAGTAAGGCGCACATTAAACTAAGGCCAACAGGGATTTACACAATGGTAATGAGTTATAGCGAGAATCTTGACTTATTCCAGCAATAACATTTAAATCTAGCTGCAAGGTTATGGGTCTGTTCTGTTGGTTTTTATAATTTTCTGAGTGCGAAACGTGTCTTTCATACAAGTCGTATCTGCACCAATCATGTTCTCAGACAAAGTCGTAAGTCGTAACATATACCGGTATGCATAAATACGCAGAGTAAAGTTTGCTGACGCATCAATATCCTTCATATATTTTTCTTCGTTGTTGCGAATATTCCTTATGCCCCCTTTTCCAAAATAAAAAAAAATATTAAAAATGTAAAATATACATGCATGTATCTAAAGATTTTGAAATATTTTCTACATTGAGGTTATCAAAATAATCTACAACAACACGGGTAAACAAAATCTACTTCATGGTATGTCAAAATGAAAAGTAAAAGTATAGCAAAACATTTATTGACTGTGTTCTCGGGCAAAATTTCTTTTGTCGACCCCTTGAGCAAAACAGTTCAGTTCTTCCGTCCGACAAAACGCATGTTGCCCTTAAAAAAAGAAATTCAATAAATGCTTAATTAAAACTGTCCCCTGCTAAGCACTTGGCACTTCGAGTTTGAGGTCTTCAGATGAGACCTTTTAAACCGAACTCCGTGTCAGGGCAGGCTTTTTGACCAATAAAGATTCTTCACGGCTCAACGGCTCTAAGTGACGAGTACAGGTCAAAATTTAAGGTCATTGACTGGTATATTTGGTGATGTTTCTATGAGAGTGATAAATTCTTGACCGGGACGTTAAACAACACATATCAATCAAATATCTTTGTATTTGTAATTGATTTAATCAGCAGTTTAAACATAAACTGATTTTTTTCAATGGTTGTCTGCAACAAAAATCTAGCAAAATGCCTCTTTAAATGTAATGTTGTTTTATATTTATCCATAAATATTTGTTGAATTAAAGAGTTTAAAAACCTTTTTTATAACTTCTCAAATTAAAATTTCTAAATAACTTTCATTGTATTATCTTACCTTTTGCTGCCGTCATAAAAGTGTAGGTAAAAAATCCATATTATAAATACATGTAGACCAAAAAGGGCTAAAATTGTATTTTACCTACGTAGGCGGATTTAGAACCTATATAAACACTTTAATAACAATGTAACAATATATAGAAAAAGGACCTCCAATCACAACTACGTACGAATAACTGAAATTGTTTATAACATTCATAATATCTTCATATATTTTAATTTAACATCAATGAATGGATATTTACGTCATTGAATCAATCAACGGAATTTACACAATCAACATATTAACTCATATAACATTTATAATAACTTGTTTATTTCAGGAACTAAAGGATCATGACCGATCGTTTAGAGCTTCACCTTGTGTTAGAGATATTGTGAATCAAGAAAACGACAACTTAACATAAATAGTGGATGATTGCGTTATATTGATGCAATAATATATTTCCTGCAATTGGGTTTCTCTGTGGTTCGAAGGGGAAATAGGATAAAGACATGCTTATCTCTGTACTCTTTACAACGAACAGTGATCATTTTCATAAATACAGTATAAAAAACGAATTATTAAAGCACAGAGCCCTGGAAATTACAGATGTTGGATCAGGTGACAATTGAGTGTAAGCATCCCTTCTTCTCGACCGGTCACGGCCACCGTGAGTCATATATATTAATCAGATAGATTGAGTGCTCGGAAATAAATTATAGTAGAAAATCTTACAATCTTACAAATGGTTTGAAACATAAAAAAGGACAAAAAATGTGACCCAGTAAAAGATTGTTGTTACAAACATTGTCATAATAGTGAACATTGAATTTATCAAATCCTGCATGGTTTTAAACGAGGTTATTGAAATCCTTGTCACGTCAACATTTTGTCAGTAGCTTTCCTCGGTTTAAAATTAATTGATTGTAGTCAAAGTATTTAAGAAGTGGGCCAACCTAAACTCCATATGCAGTCTAAATTGAATATTACTACATAAATAAGAAATGTTGGCGATGGAGAAACTGAAAAGCTGAAGTCATCCCCTTTTTCAAACGATTTAATCGCATGTATTATAAAGGAGAAGGTAGGGTAATGGCCGGATCTGTCCACTTATTTGATGTAAAAATCAGAATACCGGTAAAATTGCGATAGTTTGTAGTTAAGAACTAAAAATGATGCTTGATCTCAAACCTGCACTAATTTGGATTTAAAGCACAATGGAAGCCACTGTAGGGTGCAGAAGTAGGACATTTTAACTAAATTCCTCTTTTCTGGTGGAATTTTTAACATATTTAAGATACTTTCTTCGAAAGACATAGAGCACAAGCTTGCTTATCTAAGATTTTTACACATAAACTGCATCTGATACAAGTATATAAAATATATAAATTTGGTAGACAGGCAAGCTTGAGCTCTATGTTTTCCGAATAAAATTGCTTTAAAATCGATGAAAATAAATTTGCTTTAAAATGAAAAAAATTCGAAGATTGACCTATTTTCCGACCTCTCTGTGACCTCTGTGTATTCCAAAACTTAGAACCAATACTCATTTCGTGGCAGGGGTGAAACAGATTTTTATGGATAAACCGTTGCATCATTCTGAAAGACACCCAAAATCAGTGACCAAAAGAGACCTACCCTATCTTGTCCTTTAAATATCATATAATTACAAAGGGATTGGGCACAAGTCCTGAAAAGTTATAACGCCCTATATGTAAATTACACATTTAATTTCACAGTTAAACATGTATTTTTACAGTATAAGGTATTTGCAAAAGCTAACAAGTCGATGCATTCTGCATATATGAATAAATACATATTTTTGTGTACAAATGCATATATTGATACACCATTTAAAAGAGAATCTTCTAGTATACTTAATAAATGTTTAAACAAAAGAAATGTGTTCTGCTGAACTCAAGGAAAGCAAGATACAACGTATATAATATCAACATACAAACACAAAGGTTGACCTAAATGTAATATCTGAACTGCTATTATAAAATCTTAAATGTTCGAAAGAATTTAACAAAACTTTAAAAACTTCTACCCCTATGAGTTTTGACTTTTTTGCTCTTACATTTAATTCAGATAAACATAATACTTTATAAAATACTAAAACACAACACTGTTTCGTTAATCGCCCTTTAATATTTAGAATATTTAGATGTAAAACTTTGTGTTTTGTCTCCTTCGCGCAGCACGAGGGTTTTTTTTTTATCAACCTACAAGTAATGAGGACGTTTCTCTTCGACATTTATTTTTAATCTGATGATAAATGAAATCAACAAAGAAAGGAATAATTTCAAAATTTACATTTGAATAAATCTCAAATAATTGTGATACAACTCGAAACAAGACGTCCAATAGAAATTGTAATTACATGTAGTAGTAAAGATAACTAAAATGAAGCATGTAAATAATTATAAAAATATGAGAATGGACTTAATTTTGAGTGTCGGAAAGTAACGTCAAATCGATGTCGGCAACATTTTTGCCTTGCTGTGATAAACAAATGCTCACTTTGTGTTAAAGTTTTTCTACTCTCTCAATTTTATGGGATCAAATTAGAAAAAATGCAGTGACTTTCACTGAATATAGATTAAATTAACTTATTATAGGTAAAAATGTATAGGCTGCCATCTTTCTTTCGATGTAAAAGACGAATAGATGTCTATGCCAACATTAAAAATTCGTATATCTAAGTAAACAGTAAGATAAAAATTGGTTGAAAAACTGGTTAAATACACAATTTTGGTGATTAAGTTCTAAAATAATTGCTTCTGTACAAATATGTTTGAATTGTAAATAACATGGCAAACATTTTACATTAGAAGTAGAAAACTACTAAATGAAGATACAAGATGAAAAGTTACTGCCCGAACTTTTTTTAAAGACTGAAA